GACGTGTACGATTATTGGTTTTAGTCAATGTCCAATGAGCTCTACGGATACTAAGGGACAAATTAATACAGTTGTTTTGAAATCCGGTCTAAAAACTTGTGGGATCTGTTTACTCCCGTACTGATAACTACGAGTAATTAATTGATTATAATTATGATTTACTGATTGTATTTTTTTTTAATATACAGAGGTGTTAATATGCATGGGCCTGAAACGTTATGTCTACACCCGGACAACAATATTTGCATATGTTCATACGTGCCGTGTGGTGGTCCGGTGTTTTGCAATGGGATCCTATACGGAATGACCAGTCATTGGTTTAATCACAAAAACACAAGTGTTTTATGTAAATCGTTTGACACCGTAGTCATTGTCCAGTACATCAAAAAGTACAAAAGTTGGATCGATGATATAATAGAGAAATCAAAAAGTTCGCGCCAAAAAATGTGTACGGTTTTAGCCGTTACGATGATGTGTATTAACGTTAAAATATTGTTTAATTAAAAATAAAAAAAATAAATATTAATCGTACACATTTCTACAAACCCGTTTAAGGTTAAACGTCCGTATCTAGGACTGTTTTCCGAGCACAATGTTGTACAATGAAATTCGATTGAACTCCGTTTTAGAACGGTACACGAGTACGTTACAATACGGCCGTGCACCGTTGGTCGCGATGGACGCATGTTCGTAATTGTTTGGCGTGTGCTGCAGTTTGCGCGAGTCTGTTTAAAATGTATGAAACGTTCGCGATCGAATGGATTGGAAAAAATATTGCTCCCCGTGTTGGTCAAACGTTTGATGGGTTTGATCGTTGGGAAATAGTGCATTACAATACACGCATTGACAAAGGAAAAAAACTTCAAGTGACGTCCGGCCACCCTGTGTCGTAATACTATATTTAGCGAATACCTACGCTAGAGCTAGTGCTCAAAATAACACTAATAATAATTATTATTATTATTACTACGAGATTATTTGTCAACATTCATCATTGTGTTTTGTGTATAGATTAGGATTAGGAGAATTAGGATTCTTGGCGGCACAGAATCTTGTTACCGTTTTTCAAGATTACACCTAAAGCATAGTGTTTCGATTAACGTAAACATAGTAATTGTTTATATATTTTTAAATTTCTTTGCGAAACACCGTTTTACACTTTAAATCGTTGTCTTAATAATCATCGTTGTACACGGTCAACGGCCTTTTGTCATAGGTCAGTGGTTTTCAGAGCTAGGGGGCAGATTGCAAGTGAGGGAAAATAAAAATGTTTAATGTCTGAATAACGTTGAATTCAGTTGATTTAAAAATGTTCGTTTTGGAAATTTGATTTCAGCTTATTTGGTTTTGGATATATTCAATATATTTGATTTAAAATAAAAATTGACTCTAGAATTGCCACACTAGTTACAAACTTAACCGTCGATTTATCAAATACATTATAGATTATATAATATTTTATGTGTATTGTAATGTTGCGTAATGCTATCATATTGTTAATGGCAGTTGTGGTGTACTATGATTTTGTCAGCTTGGACTTTGTTGGCCACAAGGGTATTCACGTATATATTTAAACCAATTATAAATTACATACAATGATCGTATTTATGAACCACCATTATCAAAATCATCGTATGGACAGTTAAATAAACATTACATCATTTTTCGTTGATATAAAATAAAGAATTTTCTATTTTTTTATTTTTATTTGAATGATGTATTTTAATAAAGCACCACACAATTTTCCGCCCCATAAATTTTACCTCTTTAGGTAGCTGTTCGCTATACTTATTGGCAAATCCGCTTTTGATCACTGATTATTGAGTGTATCATAGCCTGTACAAAAAAATAAGTCAACAGTGGCCACGTTATCTTTTTTAGCCCTCGACGAAATAAAATATTGACTGAAATACTAACAAGCATATCAATTTTTTCTCGTAAAAGGTTGGTGACAAATATAGGCGTGTACATTGAAATTTGATTAGCTGCATTTCGTTAAAACCGTTTTGTAGATCATAAGTAGTAACATTCCAATGGTTTTACAACGTCACATAAAAGCTGCAACAGGTCGGGAGTTTAATGGTTCGTAATTCGACTCCAAACGGGTTTGCGTATTTTTTTGTTTAAGTCATTAACAGGATAGTTATTAATTTAGAATATTACGGTACCGGCACAAAGCATTCAAACCCCTGTTTTGTACATATTTCCGGTATGTACGGTTGATATGGGGTGATTTTATGACCACACAGTTGGAGAAGAAATATTATTCCGCCCTTATATGCACGTTTTTACGCGTATGATTTTCTCAACGGCCGAATATTTGTGTTAAAAACTATTATTTCATTCCGTGTACTTGATAATATAAATTGGATTATTTTTCAAGCCCAGTATGATTTATAATTTATGTACGAATCAAGAACATTGCGGTCGTTTGCCCGCTGCGATCTTAGGCAGGTCGCACGCAAGCACATATCAACCCGCGAAAATATTTAAGGATATTAAGGCGCTATTAAGAAACGCGTTTGAAATCATTCGAATGTTTCAAAATGATTATAAAATCGGACGACATATGTGGGCGGTGTGCTATTCGTTTCCATTTACCGAGCTACCTAGCCGCACCATAATATATTATGTTGTGAACGCACGCGCGGGACTTTTATACCTTATGCATCACGAGTGATGAACACAATAAACCGTTGAAAATAATTCAATATACATTTATATTATAATAGTATACATGTATATTATATTTCTTCTATCGGACGCCCTCCACCGAGTAGCATAAATAATAAGTTGGCACTGTGAGTTGCTCACAATATATGTGTTATTATTGTTATTATTATGCGCTCGTAAAAATGACGGCAGTGCGGACACTGCGTATTATTGCGAAAAAGAATAAAGAATTTTTTTTATTGTGATGATACGAACACGGGAAAAATACGAGTATTGTTGTAGTGTAACTTTGCGAATTTTCCATTGACAAAAATAAGTTTAAATCAATTGCTTGCGCTGTTTCCTTAGATTGAACTGGAATGTTGGTTTTATAATTTTTTTCCGGTCATAATTAATTCCGTTATGACAAGAGATAAGTCAGATATAAATTTCGATTGTTGAGGTCGACGAAAAATTATATTTTAAAAATATAATTATTCTTTATATATCTTGTAAGATTCTTGATCTAATTTGCATTGAATTATAATTTTTCTCTCCTTCATTAACGCTTGTGTTTGTATTTTTTTCACGCAAGAGTTCAATAATGATATAAATATGCATATTTATGTACCGATAAAATTTACACTGCTAATCCGCGGTTGGAATACGAAATAATATATGGTGGATTCGTGAACGTAGTTTGTAGTTATAACTCATCTTTGTAAACAATCTGTGAAAACAATAAATGTTGTCCAATCGAATAGCAACGTGAACGGTGCTCAAACCAGAACGATGGGATAGTATACGGGATTTCTACATATTTTGAACATTATTCAAACGAAAAAAATATATTTAAAATAAAATGAAACAAACATTTATAATGTTGGAAAACAAGATGTTTAGTTATATAAGGACCTATTTTTGATTGAAAAAGAGGTCAATGGTAGATAAGATAAAACAGGATGCCGACGGAGGAGATTGAGATGTTATGGAAACTAAACTATATAAATGCCCAAAGACAATTATTTATATAGATTATAAAACTATGGATTAATTTATTTTATTTTACTTTTTTTACTCATTTTTCGATGATCAACGACTCACGCAAAGTGCAAAACACATACGTGTCTCGGATCTTACTCCCGATCCATGCTCATACCCAATGCCATATTTATCCTAAGAGCCCGCAGGGCACGAACTTAGGGCCCCTGATCAATGGAGGCCTCGAAAAATATAACTTACATCTTTAGGTTTTAGCATATTAACATGAACAACCTCAGCAAAATATTTGACTGTCAGGCTTAAATAATAAGTTATAATTAAAAAATAATATTAAATAATTTACAACTAAAAACTTAAATGCTATACATCCGACAAATACTTCTTTAGCAATAAATTTAATTAACAAGTTATGAACGTACAGTGTTAGGCGGCTACGAGATTATTTTTATATTTCTGTGATCAAACAATATATCGTTGATACATTTCTGTTCAAAGAGGTAGGTCTAAAAATATCGTTTTGAATTCTAATGTTTATTAATAATAATTCGGTAAATAGTAGATAATGTGAAATTAAAATCATTCATTTGCATCGTAGAGGCCCCTAAACACTATAGGTCTAAGTGCCCCTGCCAAAGACGGCTCTGTCACACCTATGTACGAACTTATCGTTGTCTAGCGCTATTATTTACTCTGCTCGATTGTTGCACGTAGAATTATTAACAGAGACAAAATCTATTTTGGACTATGGTAGAGAATGGGGGGGGGGAGAAATAATAAAATTCAATATACATCTTTGAAAAAAAAATCTGTTGCTATGATCGCAAAATTACATAATTTATGTGTATGCTTAACGTATACTTATGTCTGAAAATTGACCGTCCATCAATTGTTTGACCGCCTACCAAATATTGATACGATTACATAGATCTCAGCTGAATCGAAATATTATTTTTCCTTTTTATTTTCACAGTGTGGTAAAAAAAAAATTAAAATTAAAATTAATCTGCTGCCTCTATGTAGCAGTACATATTTCTTATCATATATTACAATACCGGGTTGACGATTTCGTTGCAAAAAAACAAACCTTCTACACGAAAAAAATTCACGGACAAGTGTAGAATATTGCTGTCCATATTTTATTTTTTCATTAGTCAAAGGAGGTCACATGGTCTCTGTCGAAGGTTATGTTACGGATCATATTACACTTAACGATATAGGTATAATAATGGTATGACCACGAGTCTCTATAGTAACAAGCACGTGCAAACTTGATCGATTGCTAATGTTGATTTCGAATGACAGTTTTTAAATAAAATATCCGTGTCTACTTAATTATAACAGACATCATGCAAGCGTTGAAGATTGTATTGATTTCGGTTTGCGTCACGTTGATCGAATCTTCCTGGTTTGGAACTGATGAAGATGAAGCAAAAACCTGCACAAATAATGCAGAAATATTAACATTCAAAAAATTTCCGTACGTAGTTATTTTTAAAGTGTATGTTGAAGGAAATGCAACGCTTTGTACAGGCACCCTGCTAACGGAATGGTTCGTGCTGACCGTTGCTCACTGTACTACTGGACTTCAAGCATCTAATTTTACGGTAAACCACATGGTTCAAAAAATAATACAAACTATTTGTCGCATATGTTACATAATACACTATAATTATGATGTAAACAGATATATCATGGAGATTTAACAGGTCCGGGTGTGCAGGTTGAAAAAGTTTTCCAACACGAACTGTACGTACCCTACAAAAATGATTTGTGTATACTGAAAGTAAATATACATACTTGTTTCCAATTAATAAAGTGAAACCAGTGAAAACGAAATTCGAAAACAAACAGTAACCACATTTAAAAAATAATATTTTGTTTCCGCGACAAAATCAGTATGTCGCCTTCATTATTCACATCATATTTAACATAATGTTTGCTATTTCATTCACAGACATTTGCTAGTCTAAAGTAAAGTGTTAAGTATTTTATATGATGAAATTAAAATATTGATCAGTAAATTGTATACGTAGGTGTCACGATTAATCGTCAATCAATCGAATGTTAAAGAAATAGATATTGCAATAATAATATAATACACAGCAAAATACTTTACAATTTACGATTATAAATATTTAATCTATTTAATTAGTGCCTCAAAAGATGAATAAATATATTTATTTTTTCACTTATTATTTCAAATAATTATTGTTTGCTATTTGTTTCCTTAACTCATTCATCCTTTTGTTCGTACTATTAAAAAAAAACAATCATTGAAATTCAATGATTGCTTTCAAATTAATACAAATAACACGAATTACATAACAGCAATGAAAAATATCTGCAACTTGCATTTTTTTTTTTTATCGGTACATATATATATGTAAACTAAAAAAACTAATTTTAATGTATTGTGTTTATATTTTGTTCCATCCTTGAACACTCAATATAATTAAAATATGTATCGTTTTCGTTGGTTTATGTATAACATACGTGAGTAAAATACTGTATTTCATTATTTTTATTTAGTTGAAAGACTTATCCCTGAATGTCAAAGAGTTTGCAAAGATATATGGTGATATAAGCGATTTAGGTGAAAAAGGGTTGACGTGTTCGATTATTGGTTTTAGTCGATGTCCAACGAGCACTAATAAGAATAAGGGACAGATGAATACAGTTGTTCTGAAATCCGGTCTAAAAGCTTGTGGGATGTACTGATAACTTCGAGTAATTATTAATTATGATTATGATTTACTAATAGTTTTTTTTTTTTAATCTATAGAGACGTTAATAGTCTTGAAACTGAAACGTTATGTCTACAATTGGACAAGGATATATGCTCATGTCCATACGTGGCGAGTGGCGGTCCGGTGATTTGCAATGGGATCCTATACGGCATGACCAGTCATGGGATTTTTAAAAAAGGCCCAGATGCTTTGTGTAAATCGGCTGATACCGTAATCAATATCCAGTACATCAAAAAGTACAAAAGTTGGATCGACGATAAAATGGATATAATAACAGAGGAATCAAAAAGTTCGCGTCAAAAAATGTATATGGTTTTAGCCGTTACGATGTTGTGTATTAACATTAAAATAATGTTTTACTAAAAAAGAAATAATAAAAAAAAAAAATCGTACACATTTCTACAAACGCGTTTAAAGTTAAATGTCCGTATCTAGGACTGTTTTCCGAGTATTATGTTGTGCATTGTATATTCGGTTGAACTCCGTTTTAGAACGTTACACGAGTATATTTCAACACGACCGTGCACCGTTGGTTGCGATGGACGCGTATTCGTATTCGTTCGCGTATGCTGTGGTTTGTGCGGGTCTGTTTAAAATTTATGAAATGTTCGTGATCTAATAGATTGGAAAAAATATTACCCACCGTGTTGGTCAAACGATTGTTGGATACGAACGTTGGGAAATAGTGCATTACACGCATTGACAACGAAACGAATGTCGAGAAATTTCCGACCGCCCAGTATCGTAATACCACTTTTAACGATCACTCGCGCCAGAGCAAGTCCTCAATCAACAACAGTAATAATAATTATTAATATTACTACGATTGTTTGTCAACACTGATCGCACATCATTCAGTCTAGTCCAGTGGTCTTTAACCTTTTTCGAGCCGCCACCCAATTTTCTTATCGAATATTTTTCGCGACCCGTGCCAACTTCGTTAGCCATAAAATCCAAATAAAAAAGTAAAAACCGCTTAATGTATTATATTGTAGAAGTGGTTTTATAACTAAATAAATTAATATATATGTATTTTTGTTTTCTAGGTTCTTAGGCAATATTTCATTTTTATTATAAACAATGATACCAAAAAAATAATATGCAAAAAAAAAATTTGTTCGATATTTGTGGGCTGTTTTCACACGAGATACTTCCACCTCAGCTCAATTTTAAATATTACAGTTTATAGGTATATGAAATGAATATGAGTAATATGGACTTAGTCAGATTATCGCTATACAATTACTTAATTTGATTGTTTATTTTTTTTTTTTTTTTATTTGAAAATTAAGGCTTCAACAGCAAATATTACGAGTATTATCAGCTATTTGATATTATATATTAGATGTGTTTGGTGTTCGATTTAAAATTACAATATTATTTATGACATATTACGTAGGTAAATTTAGGTGTAGAATTTAGATTAACTTATAATATTTGTGATACTTTAAATTTTTGAGTGTTCCTAGAACGTTTATAAAAAAAAAAAATTATTATCGCATTACGACTAATCAATCAGCCATCAGTAATTGTTTTCGCCTGACATAAATGTGAGTGTTTACTGTTTTTTTTTATTTAAATTATTTTACAATATATGGTGCCAGTGGTGTACATTTGATCTTGCTCTTGGGGGGGGGGGGTTAACAAAAATAATCATTATTTTTTTTTTTCGTTGTACAGATAAGTAAGATAAATAACTGCTATAAACAGATATTATTTTATGCAACTTTTTTACCAATTTACAGTTTACTTTTAGATTACAGTAAATTAATAGCATAAAAATAAGGAAAATAAAAACAGCATAGTTAACAAAACTTTTCAATCACCTATCAATATAATTATTTAATTATCATATTTGTATAGTTGTATATTGTAAGTTCAAAGCGTAATAATGAAACTACGAATATATTACACGTCATCAATAATAAAACAATTTTCTTTTTTTTTTTGGCCCTGTGGGGGGGGTTGAACTCGGAATCCCCCCTGTATGTACGCCATTGTATGGTGCAAGGATTAAACATTTCAAAAGGACATCGTTGTTTCTTCGGGTTAACTGAAAAATGTTTGAAAAAATAATAATATTGATTTAAAATACAATCCCTCGGGCTCTACCATCATTCTCTCCCTTCCCTCTAAAATCGTAAACTGTGGTTTACAGCATTACTACCGGCTACACGCGGGGTAAAACACTGGATTTTGTTATGTACATACGTGGTTATTATTCAAAAAACGTTACTTACTACGAATTATCTCTGATCAAATCATTCGATTCGACTTATTTTTTCTTTTCGTATGTATTTTATACACGGCCACTTTACCGAATCGTATTGTGTTGTTTTATCCGCAAATCTTATACGTGCGTACCGCGTGTAAAAATGTACGTAGGTACGCGATGTGCATACAGCGTACACATACCGCGCAGAATAACGCGTGGGCACGCGCTACGTACTAAGTTCTGTTGTGGGTGTTTCTCGTACAATTCGATTTGATTGCAATCATAAAATCAATTTGTTGTAGAGTAATAATACGTTTGATTATTCGTCTTATTTAAATGGCTAAAATCTAGGAAATGAAAAGAAAAAAACTGAAGCGTCGCTGGACGCCCGGCAGATGTGAAGCACCGAAAGTGTTTCGTACAGAAAATATGCGCGAAAATATGTTTTATTACAGGAAATGAATGTGGCATGAACTGAAAATGAAATATTAATTTTTTTTTTCAGAAATAAATGTATTCAATGAACACGAAAATTCAAAAATCAAAAATCACTCGTCAGAAACGTACACGTTTGAATCTTCTATAGGTTCGACCATTTTTTATTTTAATTAACTCTGAACCTTGTATAGGCTATATAGACAAATCGACTCTAAATTAAATTTGATCTTTGGCTTTAATTTTCGTGTCACTGGTACTTCAAAATTTGTAAATTTAGAACTATTTATAACATATCATATCATGTTGATGACCAGCGGCGTATACAGAAAATATTTTTGGGAGGGGCTACTATGAACAGAGTTAAATTATCACTGCTATCTAAGAATTACTATCAAGACACTGTAGGTACTTATCTACATTTCATTTACAGGATGTCCCAAAACGATTTTACGTTGGTCACAAATTCTAAATAAGCATAAAGCACCATTAAATTATAACAAACGTTTAAAATAATTTTTAAATTTTTTAAAATATTTCGGGGCTATGTAGCCTACTAGTGTATAGCCCACTAGGCACCCTCCATATATACGCCATTATTAATGACTACTTTTATACTGGTTTGGACGATTAATTTCATTCATTTTATTTTGCGTTACACTCGAATCGGATGATTGTAATAATCACAAATTAGTTATTTGATTTCGGTTCGATTATTATTTATTCCGTAAGTACCAATATCTAGTGAGTAGTATTCAGTACAAGTATTTAATATACATAAAGGCTAACAAGCATCTAAAAAACTGTTAAAAACAATAACAAAATGTAATCACATTTTATGAATCAATAGAGTTGGGCTTCTAATGCCATCGACGTGTAAACAGCATTTTCGATAGGGCTGCGCGGTGTGACCTGCGAAATCACGAGCAGCGTTGATCGTGTTCAATAAAACAACGTATTAACTCTTTCCGACATGATTTTTATAACTGTTGACCATCTAATTTTTAGTTAGAATGAGGCGGATGTATGTGATTATAAAAAAGTACCTAAAAAGTAGAGGTTGATTTTAAAACGTTGAACACAAAAACATCCCTAAAAAAAGGCACTATTTTTACTCTGGCAAATATCTGGTATTGGATTACACTGCTTCCTAAAACTTCATTATTATAAATTCTTCTATTACTCGTATGCTTATACGAGAATCCCAATCATTCGATTGGCGGATAATACGAGTGCATTTCATTGTGATATTCAAAAACTTAAGGTAATCCGATGTGAAAATGCCTTGTAATATGCTTGCGTACAGTTTACAGTAGAGGTCGTGGTTGTGAACGGGTATGAAAATACACGGGTACAAGGAGCCCGGGAACGCAGTTAAAAAATATATTAAAGTCCGTGTATATCCGCGTATTCATTTAATATTACCCGTGTATATTGCATATTAATTCAGAATTCATATATAATTTAAATATTTATATTTATACTAATAATGTGATATTATGTATATTCCAATAGTTATTAATTTACTATTAATTGATATTACAAATTGTATAACTTTTAATTACTTACCTACCTTTTATTATTTTAAGAACAGTTATTAGTTATGATTAAAAATTAATAATATGCATTCGTTTATCGAATAATTTTATATAGGTAAAACCACTTTAGTTGCTCAAATGTCATACGATAATTTATACTTGAACATTTCTCAGACTTTATGTATTAAATACATTTATTATATTGTAATGGAGTGCTGCTACGTATTAATAATATTATTATGTATACATACACGCACGTCAATATAATATGGTATGATGTTTAATTTATTCATGATTAATGTTATATTGACTATATTTTATTGGGTCCAGTCCAAGTGTGACGTTTAGAAAAACAATATTATTACCTATTTCATTTTTTTTTTTTTTTTTTTAATTAAAATGCAAATTTCACATGTCTTTATTTATCATAATAAATATGATATATATATATATATATATATACTTTTTTTTTGAAAATCATTTATTTTTACATAATATTTTTAAATCAAATATAATATGTATCATAATAACCATGATATCGCAGTTTTACGTTTTAGATCTTTGAAAATTCGTTGTAAACATAATTTTTTCGGTGTTTTCCTAAACGTTGCAGTGTTTTCATTTTATCTCTAATTTACTTTATAACATATGTAAATATATATATATTTATTATGTTTATAAACGATGTACAATTGTATTCATAATCGAGAAAAAGAAATTCTTTTAAAGAATATAAGCACAGTTTAGTGATTATAAAAATTATGATACAAATATATTTTTATTTTTCGAGAACTTATCCATAAGGTGTAATACTATGCAGCACTGAAGAATCACTATTGTTTGAAATTAAGTTTTTTGCAAAAAAGGCGCGAAGTCGGTGACATTTGTTTACGGCGAAACATATAGTGTGATTTAGCTTTATCCGAAACATCATATTTGTGCGCGTACACAACTATTACAATGGTCAGCGGAAGAAATATCCAAACGAGGAACGCGTAACAATAAACGAAATATAACTCTACAGCTCAATAAAGGTTTCCGAGTTTATCGATCTTTCGGCCGGTTCGCTTATAGGTCGTTTTACGGATCACCGGTGTTTTC